GAGAGCACACAGAAACCCCATTGTTGAAACCCGAAAACAACACAGCAGATTGTTTTTCCACTGACAAAAAAGAGGTCTGGTGTCTCATAGTGATTTGGAGCCGATTTACTGCCTGTGGCTTCCTAAGAGTGGAAACAGAAGCCCCCTGTAAGAGCGAGCGCAGCTCACTGGGCAGGCAGCAGAAAATGTTTTTCACATTATTCAACCGTTAGATACCACAGAGATGTTAAAGTTAGCACAACAAAAATTAGAAACTTCCACACAGAAAAGGAAAAAGCAAAAAAAAAACTGTACAGAGCTAACAGTTACCATACTAGTAGAATCTTACAACAAAAAACATTTTTACTAGGAGTGGGCAATTTTGTTAAATATGATACTAATGTAGATTTGAATTTTCTGAGTGTTACAGAGTAATTAATCCTAAATCAACCTTTATTGCAGAAGAAGAGCGAAAAAGTTGCACGTTAAAGGCGCTGTGTCAATTTAAGCAAAAAAAGAATAAATTATTAACAAATCAAACAAAGCATTAACAATAGTTTGCAAATGAAGGGAGTGGCACTGCATGCCCTTTAGATGGTCTCCTGACATTGCTGCTAAATGCACTAATGAGTCGGTTAACACGTGCAACTATCTACAAAAGAGGATTAGAGCAATTGGGGAAAAAAAATTTACAGATTTTTTAAATATTTCAGTTTAATATGGGGAAAAAGTCAGAATTCTGACTTTTTCTCAGAATTCTGAGATTAAAGTAAGAATGCTGACTTTTTTGTCATATTATACTAAAATAAAAGTTAAAAAATCAGTTAACCTTTTTTTATTTTTACAGTGGCCCTAATCCTCTTCCGTACCAATCGGCTGATGTGAATTCAAGAGGGGGAAAAAAAATATTGCCCAGCAGATTTACCGGTCTTTCTAAACCATTAAGTCAGTAAGGCGTTTAATTTAAAGAACTGAATTTCTTCAGTCCCATCAAATCCCCTGCTGGTTTCCAGATCACACCCTTCAGAAAACACTTTTGATCCTCTCCACACTTTGTAGGTTCTCTTGATACTGCACAATTTGCTGATATACATTTTTTTTTTTATTTAACTTGGGAAATAGTTATGCTTTTACATAGTGTTTATATGCAATTCAATGTTTAGGAAAAAAAGTTTTTAGTTCTGTTGATATAAGACAAGGCTTTTCTATCTTTCCAAGCAGACACATTGTGTTTAAGAGTGATGCTGACATTAGGCAAGACATCTTATCACTACAAGGATGGCTGCATGTTTGTGACTGTACCAAAGCAAATAAAAGCACCTTTAGTGCCAAGTAGGATTTAAAAAGAAAAAACAACCTTTAGCCGAGGTTGGAGCAAACAGTCCGTTATCTTTGGTCAAAAAGCATTGTTTAGAGGCTTTTAGTCAATGATGGATGCTGAGCTACATGCAGGAAACTGAGTTGCACTACAACTTGTTAAAGCTTCTGAAGAAGACAGAAGCTTGTGATGTTAAAGGGGTCATAGAATGATTATATAGGGTATTTGGTCCTTAAGGTCTCAGAATAGGGTGTGTAACATTGGTTGGGCTGAAAATGGCATATTTGCTGTTCTATTAGCCCTAATGCAAGTCTGGTTAGGAGCGCAAGGAAGAAACTAGTTTTCCTCCTTTTTTGGTATGCTCATGAATATTTAGATGTGGTTGGTTCACAATAAGCGAAGCTGCTGAGCAAAGACGCATCATAGCAACAAGCACTCACTCACTGAAACATCAAGTTGTTGATATGATAGGGTGACCAGACATCATCTTTTTCCCGGACATGTCCTACTTTTCATACCTAAAAAAATGTCCGGGGGGAATTTCAAAATCAAACTCGTCCGGGATTTTGGTCGACTACTGTGCAGCAGAACCGAGCCGTGAGCTCCAGGGCAGGTCGGGTTTGGGGACGGGGCGACCAAACCCGACCCGGTGACGGTAGCCTGGACACCGGCGGCCCCGTGCTTTTCCCTGCCTGCCTTACCAGGCAAGCAGGGGGAAGCACGGTAAGGCAGGCGGAGAAGCATAGCGTCACTGGCTCTGGTCCGGTCGCCCGCGTCCCGGCCGCCGGGGTTCCCGGACCAGCCCCGGAGCTCACGGCTCGGTTTGAATGCCCGGTCCTGTCCACTCAATGGCCGAGCAGCCCCCCCAGTTTTGCATTCTATGACCCCTTTAATAAAGGAAATTAAAAAAGAAAATAATGAACCAACAACTACAACACCTAAATATTAATACGTGTAGGTGTTGTAGTTGTTGTAGTCATAACTGTCCTATTTTGTAGTAGTAAAGGAATTGGAAGGTAATGGGCAATACTAACATGAGTAATGTGAAAGTGTTGTGCTACACATTTTATAGCTGGTAAACTGTATTGATGAAAGACGTCAATTTTTCTCTTAAAAAACATTTTCCTGGACTGAAACTCAAATGTCAACCAAGAGCTAGATAGAACCAGCAACAACCGGTCCCATTGATTTGAGTTACATAAAGAAATATGGTGCAAAATAGGCAGTAAAAATTTAATTGTACCAAGGTGTTGCTGAATAAATTTCAATTGAGTGGATTTCTGTTTGCAATGTTATAAAACAGTTTTTTTTCAAACCTTTTCAAAGTGAATCCGAGGTTTGTATTTTAATTCAGGATAAAGGTCATTCAATTCAGTGTGCATGTCTACCATATTTCTATGCAATAAATCTACCCCTAAAGGCAAAAAAGGATGATTATATATTTTGGATCTTTATTAGAAAGATTCCTTTGCCCAATCATTAAAAAGTGTAAAGCATTGAAAAAAGAAAGTACTGAGTAATAATTGGTAGATTGAGATCTATATGAATTTTCCCTTGCAGAAATTGTAATATTCTCTTCGTATAGTAAATCCATTTGATGATTACAGTTTTATAAAAACTGCCTGCAGAAGAGTGAGATCTAAACAAACTCAATACAACCCACAATAAAAAGTTTTTGGATAAGAATATCTGTAATGCAACCCATTAATATAACAAAAAGGCACCGTGATTACCAGCTCAACAGGAAAGTTTTGATAAACACAAGGAATAACAGTAAACCCAGTCCATATCCTGATATTGATCACAAGACAGCAGCCAAACTTCTTGAAAAACAAGAGGCCGATTGTTTTAGTGCAGGACATCTCCTGTTCAATCTCTATAGACGCCATTAATTCTTTATGGTCCACTACTGCCTAACCTTGTATATATGGCCTCTCAGCAAATTTTCTCATCTTTTGAGCTCAGTGATGCTGACGAACCAAGGATATACGAGAGGTGTCTTTGAATCGCATTGTAACACACGACCCTATATGTGTCTTATCCCCACGGGTAACAAGTTTTCCATGAGATAAACAATTCATGAGTCCCTGTAAACATGCAAGGGCTACAGATAGTGAGAGAGAAAAGGAGAGCTGTGGACATTGTGTGCGAATGATGTGTCGGTGTGAGACGTCTGAAGCTCTTTGCAAGACATGGTGATTCACCGAGCTTCTCAGCTGATGCGTAATAGCATTAAAAAAATGATAAAAAAAACACTGATGGTATTATCTGTGGAGGGAACACACACAGAACAGAGGCAGACAGGGACACGGACCAAAAGGAAAAAAAAATATGGAGAAAGAAATGAAGGGAGACAGCAAGTAACTCTGCAAGGCTAATCAGATTGTATAGATTTGACCAAACAACAAAAAAGAAGGTCTCCTTTTGTCCTCCAAAATGCCTGGAGGTGTGTGGGCCAATGTGTAAGGGGAGGAGGGGTCAGCACACATTATTCAGTGCCTACATGGGCCAAGACCATTGTTGTTGTGTCCTCTTACGAGACACGGTCAATGCCAGATTGAAATTGAAATTGATTGGCTGCCACGTAAATCAGTGAGCGAAAAGGATGTGGAGTGTGTTTATGGGGTGTAAGGACCGGCAGGGTTTGACATGTAGGATGACTAAACAGCATCCTCTCAAATACAAGTTAAATAAGCACAATTTTAAAGATTCAGAATAAACATACAAATTAACAGTATTTTTTTTTTATAAAATCTCCATAAAAATGATTAACGCAATCATTGTTAGTTATGTTTTTTTTTGGTTAATTGCATTTCTAACAAAACCAAAATTTTCATAATGCAATAAATTTAGAAAATATAAAAAAGATAAATGAAAGATCAAGAACGCAGGATTGGATCCTACTTAACAAATCTAAGGAGGTCCCTCCACTCCAGTCACCCACAACTGACAGGAATCCAGACGACATGGACATATATTAAAATTAAAAACTTGGACCGTTTACAAATGCGCTCGTGAATAATTCAGAATGCCCTACATTTGGTGTTAAATATGCAGTATTGCCGCCAGCTAAAATCTCTCTTTTTTTTTTAAACCGAGGCCACAGCCTTTACTCATCTATATCTGAGCAGAGAAACACTTCTGCTCCACATAGAGGCGAGCAGTCGTGATCTAGTCTAGAGTTTAGGAAAGGGTGTAATTTTTCCTCCTAGATTTGTTGAAGAGGAAGGAAAAAGATGATCCCCACCCTGCAATTTACCGGGGGATTTTGTGGCCAACACCCTGGGTCACATCCTCTGATCCTGCCGTATGTAATCCAGGATCTTGGGTTCATTGAGTCCCAAAATAAAAAAACCTGCTGCCACAGATCAGGAAACAAACATCTATTTATGTAAATGCTATTTATTATCCTCTTGTCAGACAGTCAAAAATGACTCTGAAAACACCATTACCAGGAAACCTAATTCAATATATTAAAAAGCTAATATAAAATTATTTTAATCTTTTTGAAAATGCTTCGAGTGTAAATTTGGAATGGTTTAGTCACTAAAACAAAGCTGTACAAAAGCTAAATAAAGCTACAGTTTTAAAACCTCCAAAATACTGTGAGTGAGACACAAGTTAAGATGCAAGTCTTTGTTTTAAAGACTTTTGAAGATCATTTGTTAAATACAGTAAATTAAAAAGAAAGTTAATACAATACCTGCAGTACAAGAGGTTCTGGGTTGAATGCCAAAGTCATCAACAGCTGCATTCTCTCTGTGTCCTTCAAGTTCTTTAGAAGGAAGCTGCCTGAGTCTTTAGTTTCAGCATATCTTCGCACCACACGGTCCAGCAATCTCTGTGAAGGGCAGTGCACCAGGTCCGACCAGCCCTCCACCACACCTGGAGTGAGCAAACGAACGTCTCCGTTGATCCGGGCAAACTCTGTCTTGTACATGGCCTGGATGAGGTCACAACGAGGTCTGCCTGTGGCTCTCTTGCAGATTTTCTGGTCAATTTCGGCCAGCTCCTGGTTGGAGCCGAGCCGCTTGAGCACCACACGTCGCGTGCCTTCCCTGGGCTCTCCGTACTGCGCAAAGAAAACGTTCTTAACGTTGAAGACGTCAAGAAACCTCAGACGACCCCAGGTCTCAAAGGAAACCTGACCGTTCATGAACTTGCGGCACCAGCTGGTGCCAAAGCAGGCAGGACACTTGTTAAGGTTAATGAACCGTCTGTCAGTCAGCTCATTCTTTTGGAAGGAGGCAAACAGGTTGTGGGTGTTCATCAGCAAGATAACAGACAAGCCCAGCACTAACAGCAGCTTCAAACAGCGGTACAGTCGGCCCAGTTTGAGAGGCAGAAACCGCAGCATGTTGGGAATGGGAAGGGAAGGTGGGGTACTAAGGGATGGGGAATAGGAAGGGTACCAGATTGAATGTCAGGGAATAACCCTTAATGAATGCGTTTCATGGTGCAAAGAGGAAAGTTGTAGAGCTGCAGGAGGGGACAAGGTTGACATAGCTGCCCACTGCCGGTCTCTGGCTGCGGTGAGGGAGTCATCTTCTCTCTTCCTGGAGTTTGAGAGCCCACTTGAGCCAGCAGTTCTGAAATTAAACAGAGAGAAAAAAAAGAGAGAACTTATAAGTAATGGTAAAATAAGGGGGAACCGTGTAATTCCACCACTGTCATTTAGGAAAGAGAAAAGTTTGAAAAGTGGTTATTTGAAATCAACTTCCCAAAGTGTAAAGCACAAAAAAAAAAAAGAAAAAAAATTATTAAATAAAATGCTCCCTGGCAAATGAAATTGTCACACAAATGTGAATTGCTTGGATTATTTAGGAGATTTCATTATTTTTTTGGGACAAAATCAGTTGGCCCACAGCCAATGCAATAAACCTGCCTGAGCCATTGGAGATCTCTACATTTTAAGCCCCTTCTTACATCCCACTGCGAGACAAATAAAAGAAAGAAAAACAGAAAATGGAGTGTCAGAGATCAAATTAGGAGGAAATCTACAACTCTCATTAAAAACAAAAATGAACACACTCGGAGGAGGATTCCTCACAGGAGCTCTCACAAAAACTCATCACTTGTCCTCCTCAGGAAAGGCAAAATAACTTGCAGCCTGCTTGCCTCCACAGTGACGCTGTGCTCAGTAATTTTTATTTATTTTTTTGGGGGGGGGGGGGACTTGCTATGCATTGTGAAGAAAGTCATGCTGTAAAAAAAAAATCTAACCTTTGATCAGAGCTGCCCCACTTCCTATTTAATCACACTTTGAAGTGGTTCCTTGGAAAGAAAAAAAAAAAAAGTCTGGTGTCACTGGAATAACGTTTCTGATATTGTGGGAGGGCTGTGAAAACTTCCCCTAAGCAAAGTGATGTCAGCAGAGGACTGAAACTGTAAGAGGAAAGCACCACAGAGATGAAAACACAGAAGGAGAATGAAAGCTCTTAATAGAATACCCCTGATGAAGACGTTCTAGACTCCCCAATCAGCTTTTTAGCAAAGAGTCTTATAAGGCGCTTTGAGAAAGACAAAGACTCAGGCCACGCAAATTAGCCGTTTTCAATTAGAACTCATTAGGAGACCTCTATTAGGACCACTGACTTCAGAAGGCATGGCTAACGAGGAGGCCCACTAGTGCCATTAACGGCTAAGTCAACAGGCTCCTTGGATTTTCCTGAAAGATCGAAGCAGCTGAGATTTGTAAAGACGAAGTCTGAATATAGGGAGCAGTTCTGAGAGACTTGCGCCTGCTAAGAGTCAGATAAGAGCAAAAAGTGCTTACTCTTGCGTCTCATATCTGTCTGAGAAACACCTTGATCAAATCAGGACAACATGAATAATGTAAAAATATAAAGTATTTAAAATTTGGAGGCAAGAGGCAGTTAAGCTGCACTATTTTAAAAGGCAAAAAATGATTCAAGCAGTTTAAATATCCTTCTATAGACCATAAATAGGAATTTTTCTTTTATATCTTTTAAACAGAGAAAAACATTTGAGTTATCTAATTTTTTAAAACAAATTAGGTCAGGGTCTTTATTTAATGAAGCAGAATACTGAACTTCTTAGTTTTTTTATTATGATTTTTGCAAAGGAAAAATGGAGAAAGGGGCATTTTTCCATTTTTTAAGAGGGCCCCTTACCTAAAACATAGAGCAGAGTTATAAAAATAGTCTTACGTCAACAAAAACAGAACCAGTGTGATAAAACACAAAACAACAATAACTAAAAGAAAGAAAAAACCCTATTCAGAAAATATTTTAGCAATTATGATGCTTAGATGCTTTGCAACTACCAGCTTCACTACATTTCATTGGGGTTTAAACAACGGGTTGAAAAAAAAAATAGTTTCACAATGTGTTTATTTGAAGGAAATTGATGAAGAGTTTTAATTTTTTCAAACCTGTAAAGTGCAGCCTTTTTGTTTTTATAAGCAATCTTACTTGTAGTACTTCTAATATCAGATTTCCAGGTAATTTATTAAGACTTGTTTAAAGCTTTAAATATTTCATGCTGCATTACTGGATTCTTGAACCGGTCAGAGCCAATGGGAATAGGTACAACCTATTAGAGGCAGCAAAAAACCCAGAGTATGGGTCCTGGTTGTTCACCTTGTAGTGGGGTCAATTTCTGAACATAACCCGTGTTCTCCACATCTATGGTTCTAAACGTTTAGAAATTTGAAGTCATTATATACACAAAAGTGATTTTATACAAACAAGAAAAAGAAATCCACTTCCTCTGTTTGAAAAAGTGTGTTTTATGAAAAGTGTCAGGCCGAGCGGGCAATGCCCACTTTTCAATTTTCTGTTTAAGATCAAATGTGGTCCACCATCTTTTTTCCTAAATCTAAAACAAGTTACTTATATTGTTTTTCTTAAACAAATAATTTAGTCGTACTGCTCTTTAAACAAAGAAGATGCAATTTAAGGGTCTATCAAACATCATGGACAATTCCGGAAATATGCTTATTGACACAGATGTGCTATACCAGTGTATCTACAGGTGCTGGTCATAAAATTAGAATATCATGAAAAAGTAGATTGATTTCAGTAATTTCATTTAAAGAGTGAAACTTGTATATTATATTCATACATTACATACAAACTCATATATTTCAGATGTTTATTTTGTTTAATTTTGATGATTACAAATGACAACAAATGAAAATCTCAAATTCATCATATCAGAAAATTAGAATATTACTGAAGACCAATAAAAACAAAGGATTTATAGAAATGTTGGCCAACTGAAAAGTATGAACATGAAAAGTATGAGCATGTACAGCACTCAGTATTTAGTTGGGCCTCCTTTGGCCTGTATTACTGCAGCAATGCGGCGTGGCATGGAGTCGATCAGTCTGTGGCACTGCTCAGGTGTTATGATAGCCCAGGTTGCTCTAATAGTGGCTTTTAGCTCTTCTGAATTGTTGGGTCTGGTGTATTGCATCTTCTTCTTCACAATACCCCATAGATTTTCTATGGGGTTAAGGTCAGGAGAGTTTGCTGGCCAATTAAGAACAGGGATACCATGGTCCTTCAACCAGGTACTGGTAGCTTTGGCACTGTGTGCAGGTGCCAAGTCCTGTTGGAAAATGAAATCTGCATCTCCAAAAAGTTGGTCAGCTGCAGGAAGCATGAAGTGCTCTAAAACTTCCTGGTATGTGGCTGCGTTGACCCTGGACCTCAGAAAACACAATGGACCAACACCAGCAGATGACATGGCACCCCAAACCATCACTGACTGTGGAAACTTTACACTGGACTTCAAGCAACGTGGATGAAGTGCCTCTCTTCTTTTCCTCCAGACTCTGGGACCTTGATTTCCAAAGGAAATGCAAAATTTACTTTCATCAGAGAACATGACTTTGGACCACTCACCAGCAGTCCAGTCCTGTTTCTCTTTAGCCCAGGCAAGACGCTTCTGACGCTGTCTGTGGTTCAAGAGTGGCTTGACACAAGGAATGCGACAGCAGAAACCCATGTCTTTCATACGTCTGTGTGTGGTGGTTCTTGAAGCACTCACTCCAGCTGCAGTCCACTCTTTGTGAATCTCCCCCACATTTTTGAATGGGTTTTGTTTCACAATCCTCTCCAGGGTGCGGTTATCTCTCTTGCTTGTACACTTTTTTCGACCACATCTTTTCCTTCCCTTCGCCTCTCTATTAATGTGCTTGGACACTGAGCTCTGTGAACAGCCAGCCTCTTTAGCGATGACCTTTTGTGTCTTGCCCTCCTTGTGCAAGGTGTCGATGGTCGTCTTTTGGACAACTGTCAAGTCAGCAGTCTTCCCCATGATTGTGTAGCCTATAGAACTAGACTGAAAGACCATTTAAAGGCTTTTGCAGGTGGTTTGAGTTAATTAGCTGATTAGAGTGTGGCACCAGGGGCCATCAATTTTGAACCTTTTCACAATATTCTAATTTTCTGATATGATGAATTTGAGATTTTCATTTGTTGTCATTTGTAATCATCAAAATTAAACAAAATAAACATCTGAAATATATGAGTTTGTATGTAATGTATGAATATAATATACAAGTTTCACTTTTTAAATGGAATTACTGAAATCAATCTACTTTTTCATGATATTCTAATTTTATGACCAGCACCTGTATTTTGGGTGTTTTTAAATGTCACAATTTCTGTGCACAACAAAGCTTATAAAGAAGTAGTTAGTTTTACACTGCTCTAAACACAGCTTATAATACAGTAGAGATGCACCAATGAAATATTAATACCTGTATCAGTCAAGATACTGAAAAAAATAAAATAAAATATACATCAGGTGCAGCGAAAATGGGCCAAATTTATAGGGGAAGATTTATTCAGTCTATTTCTATAATACATTTAAAATGGGCTTAAAATCTCTCGAACAGCAAAGTTTACCCCGCTTACAGGCCTTTGATTTAGTAAATATAGTTACTTTTAACCCTTACAGCTGCTATAGCTACCAATGCGTGCGGGCGTACATTGTGCGCCCTTTACTAAAATTTGAAATTGTACGCCCTGTTTTTGGGATAAATGGCTTTGTTTCGCCCTAAATTTCCCTCAGAATAAGGTGGAATATCTAATATCCGTATTGATAACTTAATTTGCGGGAACAAGCACGTTTTTTTGTTCTTTGAGACAATAGTGTCCGTGGAATGGGGTAAAGCAGCAGCTGACGTAAATGACATCTGGGAAGGATGGCGGGATGGGTACTAAATCCGCAGCAAACGTCACAGATGTAGGGATGGGAATCGAAAACCGGTTCCTGTTCAGATTCCTGTTCCAATTCCATGGCACCGTTTGGCAGCTCGCTTAAGGATTCTCTTAACGGTTCCAGGCAGCACCAGAGCATAGCGCAGGGCAGCACAACTTACGTCACCTTTTTTACCCAAGTTACGCACACGGCATTCAGTAAGCAAGTACGACGTAACCAGGCTTAAGTCTAGAAAAGCAAAACAAAAAAATGGCATCCCATCAGGTAAAGCGCTCGAAAGTTTGGCTTTATTTTAAGGAACAGAAAGATGGCAACAAGGCGCTTTGAAATCATTGCAAAGAGGCAATTACATCCGCGAGAGGAAATACATTCAATATGCAGACAGACCTGTGCACACAACATGGCATACATTTTAGCGAATGCCATATTTTTGATGCTTCCGAACAGAAGCTAAAGTTACGACCAGCATGGAAGGAAACTCTGGTGGTTAGTAGCTAGTTTTATATCACTGGCTGAGCTTAAAGGCACACTATGCAACATTTTTCAGTTAATTAATGTGTTCCATAACGTTTTGGATGATTAAATGAGTCATTTCAGGTTGAACAAAGGTATTCTCTGCCGCCCTGGTGGTCTGTGGGGGAAATATTGCACTTACTGCAGGAGCACCGACCCGCACCCACAGGCTCAGAAGTCTCGCGAGAGTCAGTCTTGCTTTACGGCGAGAACTGCTACACCCCCCAGTTAAAAGCATTCTCGTTGCTAGCACAGTGACAATCTTTGTGCAGTTATGCTACGTTCACGCAGCAAAAGCAGCAAAATCGCGTCTGCTGCTTCCTTTTTGCTGCTTGTACCAGTTAGTTCTGACGCGCGGCTGAAGCAGCTTTGCTGCTCTGGCTGCGCGGTGCAAAAGTGTGTCTGAGGCGCATAAGGCGGAGCTTCACTGTCCTTTCTCTGCCTTGCAGCTATATTTGCTGTGATCAGTGGGAATAAAGTAGTTTTAATATGTGTTTAAGTGAGAAAATACACCTGAAAACGTAATCAGTGCAGTCAGTTCATTCAGATTATTATCCTGCCTTCAA